GCGCACAAACGCTGGGCTACTTAAAGGAAATGTTGCATACATTAACTGAATCATACATCATAACACGCTAATTCACATCGTCGGTAAACCGTGGACCATATGTTCACACACATCCTCCACAGGCGAACTTCAGTGCTGTTAACGTCCCTTTATGGCTCCCATTTCTCTCTGTGTTGGTGTGTTGGCTATAGATGGGAACCTACACAACGGTAACACCTGGGATCTTATCTTAGAGACCACATGTATTTCTGTTACCGACAGCAACATTTGTTGTGTATCTAAACTCGTGTGCGTGAGGTGTGTTTCCATTCGGACAATAAATATATCATTTTATTAACTCATTTATTACCGCTACACCTGTGGGTTTTGTTTTTTGTATCGCGCCGCTTTACAATGGGGGTTAGATGCAGTGGATATTTACATTCACTGCTGCTACTAGGAACATATGAGGATGATGACGATTATTGATGATGACAACAATGATGGCGAAGATAATACTGATGGTTGATGAGGACGACAACGTTGATGATGATGATGATAAGTGATTATGATGATAAGTGATGATGATGAATGATAATGATGACGACGACGCTAATGATGATGATTATTGATGATGACAATAATGATAAAGATAATAATGATAGTTAATGACGACGACAACGCTGATGATGATGATAAGCGATGATAATGAATGATAATGATGACGACGACAACGCTGATGATGATGATAAATGATGATAATGAATGATAATGATGACGACGACACAGATGCTGATGATGATTATTATAGATGATGATGATTGATGACGATGATGAGGTCAATCTTCTTCTGCGATACCATTCTTACATCACTTTTAGAAAGCTACGAGGACGGTCTTTTTCTACGTTGCGTGTTGTAGAATTTGAAGCCTGGTACCTCAAAGATTGTGAAATGCGCTCCCTGACTTCTTAGACACAGAGCTGCATCGTGCACAACATGGAAGTAAATGCGGCCTCTTCACATTCACCGACTGTAAACTCCAATGGGAAGTTGAGGTTGCTCGTCCGCTTCTGAACTTTAGTCTTTTCCCAGAATCGTAGTTTTACAGATCTGGCTTATTTGTATGCAGACCTTTGGTTCCTTGCCTCTCAGGCAGAGACCCTCCACATTTCAAGGCAACACCTCTAATTAACCAATTTTTGTGACATGCTTATTAGGGGCCGTGAATCTACACCCCCCCCCCTTTCCTCGCCCCCCCCCCTCCTCGACCCCCCCCCCCTTTTTTTTCCATATGGAGCTCTCTAGCCCCACAAAATACAAAAGATATGCACCAAACGTAGATCAGCTAGTTTCACGCTGTGACAAACAAACACACACGGAAAGTGGACGTCGCGGCTACAGAGCCGTCATTGGTGCAATATATAAATAAACAAAACCACACGGATACACAAAATTACTGAACTGGCGTTATATCACTTTAACCCACATAGGGGTAAATATTACTGAAGCTTAAGTAAAGCAGGTCAGTTGAATTTCTAGTCCGCTAAACAGGAATGATACTTGTCCGCTGGTCAGATATACAGGAATTATACTTTCCCGCTAGTCGACTCTACAGGAATGATACTTGTCCGCTGTACAGGAATGATACTGGTCCGCTTTACATTAATGATACTTGCCCGCTGGTCCGCGAAACAGGAATGGTACTTGTCCGCTGGTCCGCTGTTCAGAATGGTGCTTGTCCACTAGTCCGCGGTACAGTAATGTTATGTGTCCGCTGATCCGCTGTAAAGGAATGGTACTTGTCCAAAGAAAGTTGAAGAGTTAAAATATCTAGGAGCACCGTGCAGTAAATTATTTGAGAAGTGGAGGATCAGATGGTTCGATCATCTCATTAGAATACATCCCCAGCAGTTACCAACACAAGCGCTACATGTAAGGGAGATCTGATATGTAAGTAAAGTACGCAAGGCAATGAGGAAGTGATGCCATGTAAGAAGGTCAACATCCGCACGGAACCAGTGCTGCCCATCCGGTGATGGTTCGCAAACTGTTCGTCCCCACGCTGCTTGGAAAGTCGATGATTATGATAATAATGAGATAACTACTAAACACTTATTTTGGTACCTTTTTATAATTCACCCCAAACAAAGAGAATCCTGGAGTTCCAGGGAAAGTCCAATATTCTAGAGGTGTTATGGTTTGGGGTAATGGTTACGGTTAGTGTTAAAGTCTGGATCAGGTTTAGAGTTAGGGTTCGGGGTAGGCTCAGGGTTCGGGGTAGAGTCAGTGTGTGTCTATGAGGTGGTAAGTAAATAAGTATAGGACCCTTTTGCACGCCTTTAGGCGTATAGGGCATATAGGGCTAGACCTATACTTTTATAGACCAATCGGCACAGGATGGTGATGTGGTCAGCATCACGCCGGCCGCCTTTACTTTCCCGTGACTGTACCCGGTACCCACTCAAGGCTGGATCGACCTGGGAGCCAAGGTCATTTTTGAAAAAAGTCCAGTTCCGCCAGGGAGCGAACCCACGACCTTCCGATCCGCGGCGAGCGTCTAGCCGTTCGGCCACGGCGACTCCCCTATGAGGTGGTAGGGACTGAGAAAGATTGTAAACCTAATACTAACCCCAACCCTAACCCACAACACCCCTAGAATATTGGACTTTCCCGGAAACTCCAGTATTTCCTTTGCTTTGGTGAATTACAAATAAAGTACCTTTCTTGCTCTCTCGGGTACACGTAATTTTTGTTTGGTGGTACGTTGTCTTTTATTTTGTGAAATGTGAAATATAAAATTCTGATATGTTTTATACATAATTTGAACACTAGGAAGGGGTGGCGCGCAATGACTCAAAGACAGTATTGTTGTCTGAAACTGAAATACTTTGACCCAAGACGCGTGTTTCTCCTAGCGCTACCTATATGTATGTAGAACCGACACTTTTTTAGGGGATCGTTCGTGTTATTTTTTTTTTTTTTTTGTTATAGACACTTTGTGGTCAGTTTTTTTTTTTAATTAGACACTCTGTTGTCACTACCGGCACCCTTTTGTTCTGGTGGGGGGGGGGGGGGGGGCGCCGCATGCTTCGGCAATATTAAATATTAAATGTCATAATGGTTTGGACAGATCTTTAATAGACAGAACTGTTCCAAGAGAAAGGGGGTTTAAAAGTCGATTAGCGGAGGGTAGAGTGATAACATCAAGGACACCCTGATGATGACAAGTCACCAGATGATAAATTTGGCAAAGGTAGGAGGAGTGTCTGTCCCTTGTGCTGAGATGAGAGAGAAGGTAGGAGGAGTGTCTGTCCCTTGTGCTGAGATAAGAGAGAAGGTAGGAGGAGTGTCTGTCCCTTGTGCTGAGATGAGAGAGAAGGTAGGATGAGTGTCTGTCCTTTTGTGCTGAGATGAGAGAGAAGGTAGGAGGAGTGTCTGTCCCTTGTGCTGAGATGAGAGAGAAGGTAGGAGGAGTGTCTGTCCCTTGTGCTGAGATGAGAGAGAAGGTAGGATGAATGTCTGTCCCTTGTGCTGAGATGAGAGAGAAGGTAGGAGGAGTGTCTGTCCCTTGTGCTGAGATGAGAGAGAAGGTAGGAGGAGTGTCTGTCCCTTGTGCTGAGATGGGAGAGAAGGTAGGAGGAGTGTCTGTCCCTTGTGCTGAGATGAGAGAGAAGGTAGGAGGAGTGTCTGTCCCTTGTGCTGAGATGAGAGAGCCATGTTCAGTAATGAACCTGATTAATGCAGATGAAACTATTTCTCAAGACTTAACTACCATTTGTCTATTTGTAGGCAAGAGATAAGAGGGGTGGTGGGGGGGGTGTGGGGCTTGGGGGGGGGGGGGGGTCTTCAACACGTAGTAGTCTTCACCCTGACGTATTTTTCTCGCAGACTGGTCTGCGTCAGAGGCCAAGAGGTTATTAACATAGCTGCATAATTCCGATATATTAAAGTTTCGCTTCAGCTGCAGCTGATTTCACACTTGATCAGTTTAAGTTTGCAAGGCCAAACTGCTGAATTTAAAAATTGCCATGTAAAACCACAGATGAAAAATACTAGTGCTGGTTTGTTGTCTCTTGAACATAATATTATCATCATCATTATCATTATCATCATCTTCATCAACAACAACAACAATCAGTTTTCCTGTTATACGTCACATAGGGCTCGCTGCCTAGTCTTCTATCCCTTCTCTCCTGTGCAATCCTCCTTTCGATATCACGGTCCAGAGGCTTTGGCCTCTCTTAACGTTCATCTTATGGTCTCCCTCGTTCCATCTGTTTCCAGTATCAGTTCCTGCTTGGTGATTATCTAACTGTTTCACCTCGCGATGTGTTCATTATATATTGCTGTCTACTTTATCTGACAACTGATGCTACAGGCAGGTGTGTTGGCTTGCTATTGTTCGGGAGAAAATTGTCACATTTAACCAGCATCCCCGAAGGGGGAGTTTTAGGTTATAATTGTGACTAGGTTATGTGCGCCATAAATAATGGAATAGCATTGCACGAAACCAATAGCCTAGAACAGGACTCCTGCAGTGTTGAAGCGACCAAAGGAGACAGACCTAAATACTGTCCTGACCTTTGACGAAGTCGTCTACCCACGAGTCATTGGAGGACTGTCACCGACAATAAACGGTTGTCCAGTCATGTCTCCTGTTTGTAAATGATATGCAGCTGACTTTAATTTGTTTTCGTGTGCTGGAGAGTTAATCCTACGGAACAATGACATTTGGCGCCTGTCACAGAAAGCATCTATTAACACCTGACCTTATTTATGACCCCGAACACAATAAATTTATCGATTTCATTTTTGTCCACAGGTAGTCGTTATGGAGCAACACGTTGAGATGTAAGCAGTGCTGTCGCAAGTGAGTCTAAGATCTACAGATTCAGTCCACGCTGTCTGAGATTTGTTGATATTTACAGATATATAAAGTGGGATTTGCTTTAAAAAAAAAAAGAAAACTGATGTTGTGCTGTTAATTATTCAAGTGTTGTGGTTGCATTTAAACTTAACAATGAAAACTTTGTCATCATTAGTTGTGCTTGCTGTTATTTTCATTGACTTTCTGCACTTTTGGATACCTTCGGCGAATGCAAGTAAGTGGTACATATTTTGAAGTAGAATTATTCTAATAGATCTTTTGTTACTATTACATTGTCAGGTTGCATTTTGGACAACGGTGCTTCGAAGCAATCTGTAGTTATTACATAAGTAACTTGTACAAGTAGGCGTTGTAGACTATTATTCTTCAATTCACGCCAGCCTGCCGGCCGGAAAGTCTTCGGTTCAATTCCTTTTCGAGACAGATTTTTAAAAAACTTACCTTGACTCCTGGGTCGACTCAGAATAAACTAAATTGTTGTTGTTGTTGATGATGTCATTGTTGTTTATGTTGTTATTAGTGATGTTGTTGATGTTTTTGTTAATATTGTTAGCTTGTTGTTGTAATTAATCTAGTTGTTGATGATGATGATGATGTAGTTTTTATTGTTGCTCTTCTTCATCTTTTTTAACTTTTTTTTTCTCCTCCTTCTTCTTTTTCTCCTCCTCCTCCTCTTCTTCTCCTCTTCCTGCTCATCATCATTATCCTCATTATTATCGTCATCAGCAACATTCTTCTTGTTTTACTTTTTCTTCTTTTTCTTCTTCTTTTTCATCATCATTGTTATTGTGATCATCGTTATCTTCTTATTCTTCGTGTTAATCAGCCCTCTATCCTCAGGTGGAGCATAGTTCTGAACTAGTCTGCGCCATAACGTTTTATCGTTTGCCATCACTGGCAGCTCATTCCAAGTTTTCGTCCAATTCATCTCTGTCTAAAATTCTCATCCAGTTATTTCTTTGGTCACGCGAACTCTAGTGCAGACTCATTCTATTTACACTATAATGATTTTTTTTTTAACTATCCAGTTATTGTGACCTAAAAGACCATGAATTGAGACAGGTACGAATAGTTGATTAAAATGCTCTCTCTCTCTCTCACACACACACACACACACACACACACATGCTCTCTCTCACACACACACACACACACACACACACTCTCTCTCTCTCTCTCTCTCTCTCTCTCTACCATTATCGCATTTTCATGCAATACTTCCCAGCTGCACCCGAAGCTGCTACCGCCCCCATGGATCGTCCCAGCGCTCACTCCCTCCCCCTCCCCCTTCCCTAATTTGATCAAGGTTGCTACCGCCCCCACCCCTCCCCTCTACCGCCCCATTTTGGAAAATAGTGGTCTAAATCAAGCTTGGCATTTTGCAAATCCAGCGACTACAAAAATACTGGCCTTATAATCGAGTTTCATGCCAGTCTGGTTAGTCAGCAGAAACAAGGTTAGTTCTTCATGCCCTCAAAACTGAGTCAACTATTAAGCCAGAAGTGGTTGTTTTTGCAGAGGCTGCTGTAATATTAGTTCTTAGACATGTGACACCGACTGGTTTTAAAACTGTGTTGGCAGTTAATTGCTGGCTGACATTTGCAGTCCCTGTGAAATGGCCGCTGTTAGCATTAATCTGCTCGTTCTGGAAGTCCAGCTCTGCTTTCATGTTAGAAGAATTGTCAGCAAGGTCACTGATTTTAGTCGTGGCAAATTTGTAGCTTTTGACAGCCGTTGCATTTTTCTTCCATTTGTAGACTGAAAGGATATAGTTTTGTAGCTCAGCTACTGAGTTATCCGTATGGAGCGACACTGTGAGCTGCGGATTTAATTTGGATCGTTTTTTGATTGTGACCAATGTAGTGTTGTGAACTTTGGAGTTTCAGAAAAATTGGCGCGTGGCTTGTTGCCACAGAATTGTTGGTGCCTTATGTTATTAAACTTGATTGCATGTGCAACTCTTGATTTGTTTGTAACTGCTCCTTACTTCGATGATGAGCTGCATTTCTAATGTTGAAATGTTTGTGTTAGCACTTCTGTTGGCTGCCTTGTGCGTGTGTATGCTAGTGGATATGCTGAGAATGCAGTCTATGTCAATTTTTTCAACAATGGACAGTTAGTGACATGCTGTGAATTTTTTTGTTGGCCCAGGAGCGGAGCAACTATGGAGTGATCCCTTTGCTATGAAGCTGAAACGAAGATTACAAGATTACAAAAACTGTTCTTGTCTTAGTAATGGAGAGAAATATCTGAGAAATATCTGAGCAAGCACTGCTATTAATAGTTAGAAGACAATGAATATGGCCCTATATGGAGCTCATTCAAGAAGCCAGCAGAGAATTAAAAAAAGCAGGCATTCTATCCATCCATCGATTTATGAAAAACAAAACATAAATCGACCACGTTCAACCGACTGCGAGCAGTATCGGTTATAACTGTAGCCTGGTTTCTTTGTGCCAATTATGTTGGCTAAGAAATGTTTATTATACAAAAACTAGTGGCTTGGGAGGGTTGTTGAGGTGTGTCAATATATACAACCACACACACACACATTAGGACGTGCATGTACAATTACATACACACACACACACATAGACAGACAGACAGACAG